AATGTGAACCAAGACTGAAACTGGGGGATAGCAACTCCCATCTAACATTTTTTTTTTTGCAACATTTTGGCCCTGGGGTTTCCTTCCCCTTCTGAATTTGGCTTAAAGGAAGGGGAGATGCGGGCTTGGAAAGCCAAAACACTGTGGCAAAAACAACCTAAATGAAAGATCCTGGTGAACAAGACCCCAGCAGAAAGAACAGGCCATCAAGGAGGGAGGCGCCTTTCTCCGAAGGGAGAAAGGAACCTCCACTGTGATATGGTCTTGACTAAACAAGTTCGGAGTTGGTGAACTCAAGGGGCTTCCATAGCCTCAACAGCTCATGGCAAGAGCCTCGGGTGATTGCTGACATCATAAATAAGAGTGCCAATTGTTAAATCAACAACGGGAGTCACTGGGTACATGCTCCCCACGTAGGATCTCTGTCCTTAATGTGTTCTACTATGAAACTTAAAAACAACACTACTAGTCGAACAAAACCCTATACCTTGTGCAGTTGTGTGAGGGCAGCCTGTTGAAATCCTTGCTTAGTATATACTAAGTTGATCTTCTGTATATGAAGGTGATTGAAAATGAAACTCAATGAAGGGCGGGATGGGAGAGGGAGTGGGAGAGGGGAGGGCCACGGGAGGGAGGGAGGTTGGGGGGGAAGCCACAACAATACAAAAGTTGCATTTTATGTTCTACTTAAAACTATTGGTTGAACTCTGTAATTAATACACAATTACTCTTAGGTGTTTAATTAATGCTATAACTAGTACTCAAATAGTATTTTACACTTTGTTTCTGTGTGGGTGCAAACTGTTGAAATCTTTACTTAATGTATGCTAAATTGATCTGTATATAAAGATAATTGAAAATCTTGATGTGAATGGAAGGGGAGAGGGAGTGGGAGAGGGGAGTGTTGTGGGTGGGAGGGACGGTATGGGGGGGGAGCTATTGTAATCTATAAGCTGTACTTTGGAAATTTATGTTCATTAAATAAAATATAAATATAAAAAAATTTAAAAAACACATTCAGAACAGTGTCTCTAAATAAAGGCAATGCATTCCGAAAATCCTGAAGAAAATTCTCAACCGCTTCATACACGTGATACTGTCTAGCCAGCGTCCTTTGCTTAGGACGTTGGCTCACCCAGAATGCTAAGCACATGCCAGTTGGCATGGATGTCACCATGAAGGAAGGAAGCCAGAGTGCTGGAAAGGTCAACTAGAGAAAAAGGAAGCTAAGTTCTGTGGCGTGGGGAGAGAGCAGGGCAGAAATGGGTGCCTCTGGCGCCAACCATAGCTTTGGGGAGTTAGCTTCTGACTTGCAACCAAGATTCTGAAGGAATTGGTAAATGAAAAAAATTAAAGATTTATACAGATTTAAACACGTTATAGCATATGCATTTAATTCTGTTTTAAGACAGCATCTCTTTCATTATTCAGTGTTTAAACTTAATTCATGGCAAAACAATTGCAAACAAAAACCAAAATGAGATCCTACTTTTTACCTGTCAAGTCGGCAAAGTTTAGAATGTTTAACATTTTTGGTGAGGATGTGGGGAAACAGGTATTCATTCGTTAGTGGTGGGAATGTAAATTATAACCTCTGTGGAGAACAAGTTGGCAATACCTGTACAATTTATAAATATAGCCTTTGAACCAGCAACTGCATTTGTAGAAATTTATCCTGTAGATATGTATATAAAAGATAAATGCATGTATGTGTGTATATATTATAGCATTAGCTGGAAACAATGTCCATCAATAGATGATAAATTATGGTACATCCATTCAATAAGACATCAGGCATGTTAAAAAAAAAAGTACACAATACACTGTCATTTAGGTAGAAGCATATCAGTATATGCACATACATACATATATGCTTCTGTGTATACAGACTCAGAATGGCAATCCAGGCTGGGGACAGGCAGGTAAGAGACTTTACCTCACACCCTTAGATCAGGGGGCTTAACCTTTTTTGTGTTATGGGACCCTTGTGACAGTTTGCCCAAACCTATGGATCGCTTCTCAATGTTGACTTTGAATTCATAAACTATATAGAATTACAAAGGAGACCAACTACACTGAAATATAGTAACTAAAAGTTTTAAATTATATGTATGTCTCCCTCTTTTTTTTTTTTTTTTTTTTTTTTTGACAGGCAGAGTGGACAGTGAGAGAGAGAGACAGAGAGAAAGGTCTTCCTTTTGCCGTTGGATCACCCTCCAATGGCCGCCGCTGCAGCCGGCGCACCGCGCTGATCCGATGGCAGGAGCCAGGATCCAGGTGCTTTTCCTGGTCTCTCATGGGGTGCAGGGCCCAAGCACCTGGGCCATCCTCCACTGCACTCCCTGGCCATAGCAGAGAGCTGGCCTGGAAGAGGGGCAACCGGGACAGAATCCGGCGCCCCAACCGGGACTAGAACCCGGTGTGCCGGCGCCGCAAGGTGGAGGATTAGCCTATTGAGCCACGGCGCCGGCTGTCTCCCTCTTTTTTTAAGATTTATTTATTTGAAAGGCAGAGTGACAGAGATCTTCCATTTTCTGATTCATTCCCCAAATAGCCACAACAGCCAGGGCTGGGCCAGAGCAAAGGCAAGAGCCTGGAACTCCCATCTGGGTCTCCCTTGTTGAGTGCCAGGTGCCCAAGTACTTGGGCCATCATCAGCTGCCATCCCAGGCACACTAGCAGGGAGATCAGAACCAGAGTAGCCAGAAGTTGAACCAGTGTCCCAGTATGGGATGCTGGGATGCCAGCATCACAGGCAGCAGCTTAATTTGCTGCACCACAACCCCTATTCCTCTTCTAACATATTAAACAGTACGTACTTTTTTAAAAGAGTTATGTATTTGAAAGGCAGAGTTAGAGCAAGGGAGAGAAAGAGATCTTCCTTCTGCTGGTTCATTCTCCAATTGGCTGCAACAGCCAGGCGGAAGCCAGGAGCCTGGAACTCCATCTGGGTCTCCTACTGGGTGGCAGAGGCCTAAGTACTTGGGCCATCTTCTGCTGCTTTCCCACTTGCACCAGCAGGGAGCTGAATTGAAAATGGAGCAGCAGGACTGGAACCAGCACTATTTGGGATGCTGGCATCAAAGGCAGCTTAACCTGCTACACCATGACACCAGCCTGTCTTCTCCTTTATTGATACATTAAGCAATATCAATGGTAACACTAAAAGCCAGGCCAGCGCCATGGCTCACTAGGCTAATCCTCCGCCTTGTGGCACCGGCACACCGGGTTCTAGTCCCGGTTGGGGCACCGGATTCTGTCCCGGTTGCCCCTCTTCCAGGCCAGCTCTCTGCTGTGGCCCGGGAAGGCAGTGGAGGATGGCCCAAGTGCTTGGGCCCTGCACCCCATGGGAGACCAGGAGAAGCACCTGGCTCCTGCCATCGGATCAGCGCGGTGCGCCGGCCGCGGCGGCCATTGGAGGGTGAACCAACGGCAAAGGAAGACCTTTCTCTCTGTCTCTCTCTCTCACTGTCCACTCTGCCTGTCAAAAAAAAAAAAAAAAAAAGACTAAAAGCCAGTGGTTCTGTAGTGATAAATACTAAGGGTATTTTGAGACAGCTGCGATAATCAAAATCTACATGATTTTATATTGGTGACAAAGTCACAGGTACTGCTAATACTTGTGCAATTTGTATTTACATTCATAAAGAAAGGAAATATTAAATTTCAGATACAGGGTTCTATCTATAAATTCCATTACCTGCTTTGGATACTATATGAATGTTTTACCATGTACATGTCCCCACCCCCCCAAAACAAAAATAGTCAGAGGGAACGTTTTGTTTCTTCACCTAGAACTTACGCTTCACTGCTTGGGATCAAATGGATATAGGCCCCTAAAGCTTCCTGGCAGGCAAATAAATCATAAGTGGCACTTTTGGTTTTTACATCAGAGAAGAGGAATTTATAAGTGGGATTGCCACAAACATTTGTATGCTTGGTGGAAGTGACTGAAAAACAAAGATGTAGGATACAGCCAATGACACATTCCCTCTCTACCTGCACCACAGCAGAACTTCACGTAGGGAAAATGGTGAGCTGAGCTTAGAAACTGATTTTTTTTTCCAACCACTTGAAAGGTAGAGCATCAGGGACACAGAGAGATCTTCCATCCACTGGTTCACTCCCCAAATGGCCACAACAACCAGGACTGGGCCAGGCCAAAGCCAGGAGCATGGAACCCCATCCAGGTCTCCCATATGGGTGTCAGGGGCCCAGGCACTTGAGCCAGCATCTGCTGCCTCCCAGAGTGCATTAGCAGGAAGCTGTATTGGAAGTGGAGGAGCCAGCACTCGAACTAGCACTCCAGTATGGAATGCAGGCATCCCAAGTGGCTATTTAACCCACAGCACCAGAACACTCACCCCCAAAATAAAGTTTTTAAGTTCCAATTTTTTTCGCAAAAATTTTAAAGAGCTGTTGTTTTTGTTTTAGTTTTTTTGAAGTATTTGAAGGGCAAAGCAAAAGAAAGATATTTCCATCTGCTGGTTCACCCCCCAAATGGCCACAACAGCTGGGGCTGGACCATTCCGAAGGCAGGAGCCCGAAGTTGCATCCTGGTCTCCCACAAGGTGACAGAAACTCAAGTACTTGGGATATCATCCGCTGCTGCCCAGATGCATTAGCAGGAAAGTGGATTGCAGTAGCTGGGACTCCAATGGGGCACTTTGGAGGATGGATGCAGGTGTCCCAAGCAGTGGCTTAACCCACTACACCACTACACCCAGATTTTTGCCTTTATATATATATATATATATTTTTTTTTTTTGACAGGCAGAGTTATACAGTGAGAGAGAGAGAGAGACAGAGAGCAAGGTCTTCCTTCTGTTGGTTCACCCCCCAAAATGGCTGCTACAGCCGGCATGCTGCGCTGATCCGAAGCCAGGAGCCAGGTGCTTCCTCCTGGTCTCCCATGTGGGTGCAGGGCCCAAGCACTTGTTTGCCCTTGTATTTTTAAAATGATTTGAGTTGGGGCAGGTGTTTGACCTAGAAGTTAAAGATGCCCACAGCCCATATGGGAGTGCTTGGGTTTGATACCCTGCACCTCTCCTGACTCCAAACTCCTGCTAATGCAGATCTTGGGAGGGAACAGTGATGATCGAGTGATTGGATTCCTGCCACTCATGTGGGAAACCTGAATTGAGTTCTAGGTTCCAGCTCTGGCTGAGGCTGTTGTGGGCATGTAGGGAGTGAACCAGTGCATGAGAACTAATAATTATTTTAAAGAAATTGTATATACTCAGGGCTGGCATTGTGGTGCAGTAGGTTAAGATGCCGCTTATGACACTGGCACCCCATATTGGAGTACCATTCAAGTCTCAGCTGCCCCACTTCCAGTCCAGCTCCCTGCTAATGCACCTGGGAAAGCAGCAGATGGCCCAAATCCTTGAGCCCTTCCACTCATGTGGGACACCCAGAAGAAGTTCCAGCTTTCAAATAAACAAATCTTTAAAAAGGGGGGGTGGGTGAGATGCAGTTACCAAACCCAGGCACTCCAATATGGGAACATGCATATCTTTTAAAAAATGTATTTATTTGGAAGGCAAAGTCAGAGAGAGAAATCTTTCATTTGCTGATTCACTCCCCAAATGTCTGTGGCTGGGCCAGCTGAAGTCAGAAGCTAGGAATCCTATCCCAGTGCCCCACATGGGTGGCAGGGGCTCAAGCACTTGGGCCATTGTCCGCTGCTTTCCCACGCACATTAACAGGGAGCTGGATTGGAAGTGGAGCAGCCAGGACCAGAACCAGCACCAATATGCATCTGAACTTGCTATGTCACAAGGGCAGCCCTGGGACAAGGGTATCTTAACCGATGTCTTAACCACTAGGCCACACACCTGCCCCTCAAACTTCTATCTGTAATATTTTGTAATATACCTGAGAATAGTGGTGTATATATGCATATAATTTTAAGTAAATTAATATATGTATGTGACATAATAACAAATATTTGGCCTTTGATTCTTGGCCTAAAACCTTGGAATCTCCTGAATGATGTCTTTTGTACCCTGAGAGGACTAGTTGCTAGAGAATAGGACTGGTTGCCAGATTAAGCCATGATTAGAGGGTTAGAACTCTCACCCCTGCCCTCAACCTCTAGGGAGGGGAGGGGACTAGAGGTTGGGTTAATCACCAATGGTCAGTTATCACCCAGGTAGTGAAATCCCCATACAAGGCCTTGAACAATGGAGTTTCATTGTTCAGTGCTTGTTAGGTGGTGTGCCCAGAGGGCCTGGAAGCTGGACGCCCTCCCCCACCAAGCTTTGCCCTAGGCCTCTCTTCCATTTTGTTCTTCCTGGGTTGTATTCCTTATAATAAACTGGTAATAACAACTGAGTTCTGTGAGCTTCTCCAGGAGAGGGTCAGGAGAATCCTGATTTGTAGCTAAGTCCAACAGAAGTGGATAACCTGGGGACTGAATAGTTAGAATTGACCTATATATAGTAAGGGCAGTCTTGTGGGACTGAGCCCTTAAACCTGTGGAGTCTGACACTAACTCTAGGTAGTTAGTATCAGAGTTGAATTGTAGCACACCTAGTTGGTAAGGTACTGGAAAATTGCATGGGGTGGAAAAGCCCCACACACTTGGTGTCAGAAATGTTGGTAAGTAAAACTAGCTCAGTGTATTACAGTAGCTTGTCATTAGGTAATACAAGATGAAAAATGTGTTTCACCCTTGTGTCACTATGGAGAGATCACAGCGTGTCACTGACCCTTAGAAGCTTCCTCAACCAAAAAAATGAAAGAGCCATCCTCCCTCTACCTCAAAGGACTGTGGTAACGATTAAAGAGAAGCCTGTGTAGAGTACCAAATACACAGTAAGCACTTGACAAATGATACCAGGAAACTTCAAAGAGTTCGTGGAAACCAAAATTAAGAGGTTTATTTCAGTGCATTTTTTCACAGTATTTTTTCCATGATCTTTTTGAAGACTCCGCATAGTCTCTTCTCTGGTGACAATGTGAAGAATGTTATATTGCACTTAATGTTTCCGAGAGGGAATCAAATTCTTTCAAGCCTATAACCAAGCATACGTCAAAGTAATCAAGGAGAAAACGAGAACACAGTTGAGTAAAGAACGGCTAAACGGTCAGGAAAATTACTCCAGAGAGGCTAACAGTGATAAAGAACCTTAGCACCAGGCACCTTATCCCAGCCTTGTACCACAGTCAATTGAAAGCATAAAAGAGTATGCCAGTAAGCAACTTAGATTTGGAATACTAATGACAAGCTCGGTGTAAACTAAGGAGTTTGCATATGAGTTTGCCAGTAACATTGATGTGGGCTGGGCAGGGAGTTGGTGAGGAACGAAGGAGCTGGGGGTTTTTAGCAGTCTGTGTTCCAAGCCCGCACCCCTAACTCCATCCCTTTACATGCCAGTTCAGCAGAGCCACTTTCCCTTGATGCACATAAGCCTCCTCCATGAAGACGCCATGATGAATACGTGTACACTGAGGTCCACATGCAAGAAGCCATAAATTCTTCCCAGAGATCATCAGGAGAACTGAATCCTTCCCAAACTCCACCCTATTTGTATATTCAAGTAGTCCACCATCTCCTACTCATAAAGGGGGTAACTAAACTGGAGTGCATGCAATTCTCCTTATGGCACGCATCTCCTCATGAGGCTGCCTGCATTCACTTCTGGATATGTATTCTCTATCTCTAAATAAATCCTGCTCCCATCCTTGTACTTCATGTCTCTGCTTTGAACTCTCTCATGCAGAGGCAAGAACTTGGAATAATTCCAGCTTCCCCATCATCTCAGTGAAAGAAAGTAAAAGAAGAAAACCCTTGAGAAAAGTTACTTTAATTTTCTTATCTGAACTATGCTATACAACATTAATCATTAAAATTTAGAATAATTTTGAGAGAATTCCCTTAGGAAGTGTTAATTTAAAACAAAACTTTAAAAAAATTAAGTTTACAGAGTATGCCTAAAAGAAAACTATAAGACTATTCAACTGACAAAATATTAACCTAGTGCTCAGAAAACCAGGAAATATGTATTGTGGGAAGTGGAAGGCGGCAGAAGTAGGAGGGAGGAGTGGTAGACAGAAGTTGTTTTTTGAGATCTTTCTGGCCTTAAGCCTGGATGTTTCATGCTACCAAAGATTCCATTTATGAAATAAAAAATTACCCTCATACAATTTCACTTTAAAATACAATAAACAGGTTACATACTCAAGTGTTATTAAGTTGCTTATACAGATTTAAAGTCATGAGCATGACTTCGGGATCTGCGCTTTTTATGTCAAGTGCTTTAACAAGGCAGTTTAAGGCCTCCTGTATTTTCCCACACTCCTTCAGTTCTTTTCCACGCATTACCAGAGTCTCATAGTCATCTGCAGCCTCGGCTGCCTTATCCTGGGGAGAAGCAACCACCTGTTCACCTGACAAAGGCTCAGGGTCGCCAGGAGAGGTCGCTAGAGCTGAAGCACTAAGCTTAGACGCACTTAGCCGGCTGGACTTGCTCTCTGAAGACAGCGTTTCTCCGGAGGGATCCTCTTCCGTACACGCTGAGACAACCACCTGTTCACCTGACAAAGGCTCAGGGTCGCCAGGAGAGGTCGCTAGAGCTGAAGCACTAAGCTTAGACGCACTTAGCCGGCTGGACTTGCTCTCTGAAGACAGCATTTCTCCGGAGGGATCCTCTTCCGTACACGCTGAGACAACCACCTGTTCACCTGACAAAGGCTCAGGGTCGCCAGGAGAGGTCGCTAGAGCTGAAGCACTAAGCTTAGACGCACTTAGCCGGCTGGGCTTGCTTTCTGAAGACAGCATTTCTCCGGAGGGATCCTCTTCCGTACACGCTGAGGCTTCGTCACTGCTTTCCTCTGCTCCTTCTTCAGGATCTTCTTCAGCAACCTTTGCTTCACCGCTGTTGCCAAGCCTTTCCTCCATATCTTCCACATAGTCTAAAACCACATTAACAAGAGACCTCCTAGACGCCAGAGACCTCCTAGGGTTTATAGACTTGTTTTCACTATCAGGTCCTTTAGGTGAAAAGAAATTCCCAGGTAGACTGACGTCATTTTTGGGAGTTGAAGCGTCAAACTGTTTCACAGATGAGAACTGAAACGGAGATGTGCTGAATGGACTTGGGCTCCAAGTACCTTTACAAGAATCCTCCTCCTCCTCTTCATCATCTGAAACAATTCTTCTAGCTTTACTTCTGGTTTTAACATTAACTACAACTTCTTCTGGTTCATTATCTTTCTCAGAAAAATCCAAAGTGACGCACTCTTTGCTACGCACAGACTCTGCTCTGGAATGGGCTGCAAAGCCACACAAGCTATTTTCTTGCTCAACGAGCTCCAGAGACTGACCAGAAGGACTTTCTCTATTGTCTGCAGAGTCTTCCAAGAAAAGATTGAAGTCACATGCATACTGTGGTGAAGAGGCTAAAGGTTCCTCTTCCAACTTGGCCTCACTTGCTTGAGCATCTTGCGGCGCACTATGGGATGCTGACAAGTCATCAGCTATTTCAACAGCAGATGTATTCGATCTTGTGTTTTGATTTTCATTTCTTATAGGAGTAATGGAGCCGGCACCGCAGTGGTGTAAAATCTCATCATCCTGTAGAAGATCTACATTTGGCCCAAGATCCGCTTTGCTAAGTAAATAAGCAGAACTTCCCAGGGGGTTTTCTGGCAGTGTCTCCTGCTTAGGCCCCTCTTGTAATGCTTCCTTTTGTACAGCCTCATTTTCAGTTGCAAAGCCTTTTGCCATTCCCAATAAAGAGTCAGTCCAAACTTCTTCTACACTTCCAGACCCCTTGGATGAAGTAGTTACAGAGTCAGCATCAAATGCACTTTCATGTGGATCCCTACCATCTTGCTGCACAGTAATGTTCATCATTATGCTGGAAAGATCTTGTTTCTCACTCTCTTCAGGTGGATCGTCAATGGTTACACTTGCCATTTGATAACTGATATCTTCTTCCTGGGTATAATGAGTAGTTATAAAAGGTGAAGGCCGAGATTGTGGCTTACTCACTTCTTTATTCAGTTTCTTCTTTGTTTGAGAAGGAAATGCAATTGCTCTTTGCCAGGTTTCCTCATATCCAGTTCTTTGTCTCTCTGTTGAATTTTGAGACTCTAATTCAACAAGGAATTGAGCTTTCTGAACCCTTTGTTGAATATAGTGAGATTCTTCTATCACATCAAGCTCTTCTTTAACAGACAGATCACGTGTATATATCAGATCATGGTCTGAGATTCCAGCTATCCCCAGAGAGTGCAGGTAGGCAATATGTTCATCTAGGTTCTTATCAGATCTCCTCTGAGCAGCATGCAGGGTCTGAAGCTGCAGCTGGGTTACAGAGTTCTGAAGATCCTCGATTGTAAACAGCTCCCTCAATTCTTGTTTAGTAAAATATCGGAAAGGGTTCTTCTTATCACCTGTAGTTTGTCTTATTAATGAGTCTTTGAAAACCTGTCTTCTGTATATTTTTTCCTCCACAGTCCCACAAGTGATTAGCCTATAAACCACAACATTTTCTTTTTGTCCAATTCGGTAAACTCTATCCACGGCTTGAGCATCAGTTGCAGGATTCCAGCTCGGATCAAAAATGACCACTCTTGTTGCAGCAGTTAATGTTAAGCCAACACCACCTATTTGAGTGGTAAGCAGAAAAACAGAATAATCTTTGTTTTGCTGGAATAAGTTAATTCTTTTTTCTCGTTCCAAAAGATGAGTAATTGTTCCATCAATTCGCAATAGCTTAAAGTGCCTGTTCTTTAAGAGGCGTTCAATGATGTTTAGAATTTGTCTCGATTGGGAAAACACGAGAGTTTGATGTCCCTCATCTCGCAGTCTCTTCAGCAGGTCCATTAGGAATATCATTTTTCCAGATTCTCCCATCAATGTATCATCAGGTATTTGATCAATAGGGTCCACACCTGAGGAATCTTCCTCCTCAATTCCATCTTGAGCAGAGAATTTGACAGTCCCTAGATTCAGCAAATGACAAGCCCGTGTAGACAGCAGCCTAGGATGATCACATAGCTTCTTTAAGACACCTAGTTCAGCCAAAGGGGAGCGTGTCTCCATTAACAGCTCCTTGATATGATCTAAAGACACAAATTTCCTATATATTTCTTCTTGTAAAGGCACAAGACGTATCCAAATAATTAAATCATTTTTCCTGGAAAGGGAAGGCATTTCACAAATGGCATCAACACCTGGAGTCTCTTCAGAAAGTCTGATCTCTGGATTGCTTGACTTTTTCTTCTGTACTTCTTCTTTTGTCCTCCTGAGGAAATAGGGTTTTATGATTGTCATTAAGTTTTCAGATATTTTGAATCCCAAGGCTTTTTCCCCTGGGGTGGCATCTTTTTCTCTTGCTCTAGTAATAGGAGTTTCATACTCCATTTTAAAAGTTTTTAATGTTCCTAGCAGGGACCCCTGACAAGCAAAATCAAATAGGGACCATAGTTCTTGTAAATTATTCTGGATTGGGGTCCCTGTGAGGAGGAGGCGATTCCTTGCAGGGATAGCACGAGCACATGTTGCTGACTTAGTAGATGAGGTTTTAATTTTATGTGCTTCATCAAGGATAACATAGTCCCACATAAACTCTTTGCCATTAAAGCTTGAAAGTTGCTGCCAATTATTGATTAACATTTGGTACGTAGTGATAATGACGCCATTCCTTTGTTGAATCCGATTGAGGTTTCTGGTACGTTCATCCTTGCTAGGACCATGGAAGGTTTTGACTCTCATTCCTGGAGTCCACTTGACAAATTCTTTTACCCATGTGCTAATAAGATTGGTTGGCATGATCAGCAGCACATGATTCACAAGTGAAGCATCAAACATACCAGAAAGGAAAGCAATGATCTGAACAGTCTTCCCTAATCCCATATCATCCGCCAAAATACCACCTTTTCTTCCTTCTCTGTATAGGCTATAGAGGAAAGCTATGCCTTCCTTCTGATGCTCAAAGAGTTGGTTGTGCAGGTCTCGATAGAGCAGCAGGCCCGAGTTGCACACATCTGTAAATTCATCATCTCCGTTTTCTGCCAATTCCTCCAAGGCTTCCTGTATTTTTTGGATTCTGCTCATTACCTTTTCATTGGGAAAAATGTCCTTTGCCAAATTGAAAAGTTTAAATGCTTCTTCCAGATCTCCATTCTTAGTTGCTTCTTTGGCTTCTTTCACATATCTATAAATAAGGTAAGAAAAAAATGTAAGATTGGAAAACAAAGAAACAATGAACATGCAGTCTAAGAATGCTCTGGGAGTCCATTTTGCAATGTAAACTGCAGTTGAACTTGTAATATTCTCAATTCAGAATGGGAATTACTAGCACAGAAGATGCCAATGAAAGTTGGCATCACATAAGACACAAATATCCACCAGACACTGCCAACAACACCTGTAGGCACTAGTTGTGGAAAATGAATGTGTAAGGGTACTTTAAAAAATATGCCACCCATAGGAAACACAGGTTAAAGTTTTTTATGAAACAAATTGACATGGAAACAGGAAGAACACATGGGTACTTCCCGGGCCTTATTATACTGTACCTCTGAGTTTCATTTAATCCTATTTATCACTCCCCTTCAAAGTCTACTTCCTTCTACCAGATTCCTAGATTTCTCCTGTTTTCCCCCTCCACCATTGGCCATTTCCTCTCTTTCTGGAACTTCTATTCTTCCTCCTAGAGGATGCAGTCCTGGAACCTCTCTCATTCTTTATACTCTCTCCTGAGGCTTTTCCAGAGCCTCCACTCCCATCTTATACACTTAGGACTTCCAAATCATTCTCTCCAACCAAAGCTCTAGTCTGTACCCACATTCTAACTGCTTTCTGGACATCTCTACTTGAAAGTCTCACAGGTACCAAAAATTTAATTCAGCCCAAATGAAAACCCCATTATTTCCCCCTCTAAATGTATGCTTCTCTTTTAGTATGGTAATAGATGACACTACCATTCACTTAGCCACCCAAACTTAGAATCTGAAGATCACCCTTGACATCACTCCAAATATGAATCACCCTTGACTTTGCCCCTTTTATGCCCTCCACGCCTGCCAGTGGTCCAAGTCCTACTTACCTTATTTCCCAAGTATGACCTCCTCCTCCCCATCTCTACTACCACTTCTGTGGCCCAAGTCACCATCATCCCTGGGCTGGAGCTTCAATTTCCTACTCACTGGTTTCCCTACATCTACTCTTGTCCCCTCCAACACAGTCAACATACAGCCAGCATTACTGGCTTAAAGAATAAAAGAAAGCATGTGATTCCTCAATTAAAATTCTTCAGTGGTTTACAGTCAACTGATTTCAACAAGGATGTCAAAAAAATTAATTGGGAAAGAATAGTCTCTTCAACTGGATACCCACATGGAAAAGCATGAAAGAGGATCCCCTAACCTCATACCATATACAAAAATTAACACAAAACGGATCAAAGACCTAAATATGAAAACTAAAAGCTACAAAACTTAGAAGAAAATGTAGGTGCAAATTTCAGGAACTTGTATATTAGTCAGCTTTTTATCACTATAACTAAGTACCTGATATAGGCTACTTATGAAAGATAAAGGCTTATTTTGATTCATGATTTCTTAAGTTCACAGACCAAGATTGGGTAGCCCCTGTTGGTAGGGCATCTAATGAAGATTATGGAAGGCAAAACATATGCAGGGGGCTGGCACTGTGGTATAGCAGATAAAGCCACCGCCTGCAGTGCTGGCATTCCATATAGGTGCCGGTTGAAGTCCTGGCTGCTCCACTTCTGATCCAGCTCTCTGCTATGGCCTGGGAAAGCAGTGGAAGACCCAGAAGAAGCTCCTGGCTCCAGATCAGCACAGCTCCAGCCATTGCGGCAAATTGGGGAGTGAAGCAGCAGATGGAAGACCGCCCCCCTCCTTTTCTCCCTCGCCTCCTCCCTCCCTCCCCTTCTCTCTCTGTATAACTCTGACTTTCAAATAAATAAATAAATCTTTTTTTAAAAAAAAAAGGACATATGCAGAGGAGGGATCACATGGTGAGCCAGGAAGCTGAGAGCAACAATAGCTGGGTCCAACTCAAGATTATGTAATTAGCATTCTAGCATACCCCCCAGTGACCTAAGGAACTCCGCTGGGCCTACCTTCTAAACACTGTAATTTGATCAGTCCATGACTTTGAGACTTAATGGTCTGCATGAGTTGGAGAGCCAAATCATGCTCAAACTATAGCACCTTGGATATGGTAATAATTCCTTAGGTATGATGCCAAACATACAAGCAACTGGACAAGGAAAAAGAAATGCCCAATAAGGACATGAACAGATATTAAACATCATTTTATCAGGAGAATGCAACCACACTCACAATGAGTTATCACTTCATACCCATGAGGATGGCTATCATCAAAGTATGAGAAATACTAAGTCTTTAAAAAAGAAAGAATTATGGGGGCCAGCATTGTGGCATAGCAGGTAAACCACTACATGCAACATTGGCATCCCACATAGGCACCAGTTCATATCCCTGCTGCTCCATTTCCAATCCAGTTCTCTGCTAATGGTCTGGGAAAAGCAGTGGAAGATGGTCCAAGAGTTTCAGAGAGACAGAGATCTTCCAGCCACTAGTTCACTCTCTAAGTGGCCACAATGGCCAGGGCTGAGTCAGCCTGAAGCCAGGAGCTTAGAACTCCATCCAGGTCTCCCATGCTAGTGGCAGAGGCACAAGCCCTTGGGCCATCTTCCACCACATTAGCAGGGAGCTGGATTGGAAGTGGGAACAGCCAGGACTTGAATCAGTACCCATATAGCATGCCAGCATCACAGGCGGCGGCCCCAAGAAATACCAAGTCTTAACTAGAATATGGAAAAACTTCCACCATTGGAGGGAATGTAAAATTGTGCAGCTGCTTTGGAAAACAGTCTGACAGTTCCTCAAAAAGTTACACCCAGATGGGGCCAGTGTTGTAGTACAGCAGGTTAAGCCACCACTTGAGATGCCCGCATCCCATATCAGGGTGCCACTTCAAGTCCTAGCACCTCTGCTTCCACTCCAGCTTCCTGCTTATGTGCACCCCTGAAGATGCCGGTGCTGTGGCATAGCAGGTAAAGCCACTGCCTGCAGTGCCGGCATCCCATATGGGCTGGTTCGAGTCCCGGCTGCTCCACTTCAATCCAGCTCTCTGATATGGCCTTGGGAAAGCAGAAGATGGTCCAAGTCCTTGGGCCCCTACACCCACGTGGGAGAACCAGAAGAAGCTCCTGGCTCCTGGCTTTGGATTGGCTCCAGCCTTTGGGGCCAATTGGGGAGTGAACCAGCAGATGGAAGACCTCTCTCTCTCTCTCTCTCTCTCTCGCTCTCTGCCTCCCCTTCTCTCTGTGTGTAACTCTTTCAAATAAATAAATAAATCTTTAAAAAAAAAAACAAGTACCTGGGTTTGTGCCACCCACATGGGAGCCCCAGATGTACCCCTGGATTCCTGGCCTCAGCCTGGCCCAGCCCTACCTAACAGTTGCAGGTATTTGTGGAGTAGACCAATGGATAGAAGATCTTCCTCTGTGTGTCACTGTACCTTTCAAATAATTTAATTTATACACAGTTATAAGAATTCTACTCCAGGCCGGCGCCGCGGCTCACTAGGCTAATCCTCTGCCTTGCAGCGCCAGCACACCGGGTTCTAGTCCCGGTCGGGGCACCGGATTCTGTCCCGGTTGCCCCTCTTCCAGGCCAGCTCTCTGCTGTGGCCAGGGAGTGCAGTGGAGGATGGTCCAAGTGCTTGGGCCCTGCACCCCTTGGGAGACCAGGATAAGTACCTGGCTCCTGCCATCGGAACAGCGCGGTGCGCCAGCCGCAGCGCACCGGCCATTGGAGGGTGAACCAATGGCAAAAGGAAGACCTTTCTCTCTGTCTTTCTCTCTCACTGTCCACTCTGCCTGTCAAAAAAAAAAAAAAGAATTCTACTCCTAGATACATGCCCAAGAAAAACAAACATATCTGTCCAACAATCTTGTCTAATGAAAGGATTGAAAATATTGTGGGGCCAGCACCGTGGCGCAGTGGGTTAAAGCCCTAGTCTGTGGTACCGGCATCCCATATGGGCGCCGGTTTGGGTTCCAGCTGCTCCACTTCCAATCCAGCTCTCTGCTATGGCCTGGGAAAGCAGTGGAAGATGGCCCAAGTCCTTGGGCCCCTGCATCCATGTTAGGGACCTAGAGGAAGTTCCTGGCTCCTGGCTTTGGATTGGCCCAGCTCCAGCTGTTGTGGCCATTTGGGGAGTGAACCAGAGGATGGAGGATCTCTCTCCCTCTGCCTCTCTCTATAACTCTGCCTTTCAGATAAATAAATCTTTTAAAAAATAAAATATTATATATTCATATAATGGAATATTATGCATCCATAACATAGAATGAATACTGATTCATGCTAAATTGGATGACCCTTGAAAACATTATGCTACATGAAAGAAACCATTCACAAAATAGACAATGTCATATGGCATTGAGATATTTGGAAATATGAAATGTACAAAATAGACAAATTAATAGAAAGTTGACTGTTGGCTGTTAGGGGCTGGTGGGGTGATAGCTAAATGGTAAGGAGTTTCTTTTTGGGGTAATGAAAATGTTCTAAAACTGTGGTAACAGGTACACATTTAGGAATATACTAAAAATCACTAAATTATACACTATAAATGTGTTAAATATATGGTATATGAGGTATACCTCAATAAAGCTTTTGACAAAAAAAAATAAATCTTCAGTTGGACCTATGGCCTACAAAATCAAGTTTAAGCTGCTTAGCCTAGCTTTGTCAAGTCCTCCCAGATACAGCCACAAGCAGCAACTGTTGGCCCCTCTGTCCTTAACACTTGCCACTTCCTGCTTCAAGCATTTTATTATTACCCTTCATACCCATCTTGCTACTTATAAGCTTAAGTTCACATCACCCTCCCCTCCCTGGAATATACTCCTTTCACCAGTTAAACTTACTGGATTCATCTGCTAAAACAGTGATTTTCAATTCTCTGTGGAATTCCCTGGAGGGCTTGTTAAAACATAGATTGGCGGACCCCAACATTTAGATTTTTGATTTCCTAGTGGAGTCCAAGACTTTAAAAAAGATTTCTTTATCTATTTGAAAGGCATCGTGACAGAGGGAGAGATTGATTTCCCATCTGCTAGTTCACCCCTCAAGTGGCCACAATAGCCAG